AGCAGGAATCACTGTTTCCTCCTTTCCCTCACTTCCATCTCCCAGCACAAAGCAGCATGGAGACTTTGAACTTCTTCCTTGGAGGGAAAACCAGCTCTTCTGAGCCAACTCTTCCATCCTGGAGGAGCAACTGCCCCACCACATCCCAGCATCCCTTCCCACAGTGGGATGCCTGCCACGCCTCAGCACCAGCCCAGCCCACCCCAGGGCAGTGCTGGGCCAGGACTGGACTCCTTGGACCACTCCAGGGAAGAACTCAAGAGCCTGCAAAGGCAGGAAGTGGGTTGGACAGATGGTGAAACATTCTGGGAAGCAGTGGTAGGGAGGAAGGCATTTCTGGAGAGCGCTGGTGGTGGGCACAAGAAACCCCAGTAAAAAGCAAATGGTGGTGGGACACATGGAAGTTTTATGGCTGTGTTTTGTTCTACTTCTACTTTGGTCAGAAAGTCATGTTGTGAGGTGATAAACTGTCCAGCACTCCAGGCCACACACTTTGACCTGCTTCTCCCTTAGCCCTGAGCTGCAACATGCCCTGCTGCGGGATGGTTGCTGCAGGGCATCCGTGTCCGTTTGCCCATGGTTAACAGGGCCCAGAGGCTCAGCCACTGTGGTGCAGCCTTGGGGCAGGTACGTGCTGCCCTCTTGCTTGCTAATGAACAGAGCTACTCGGGCAGCAGGTGTGTGACCCTCCAAAATGACAGGTTGTACAGTGCTGTCTCACTGCTGGGTCTCTAATGAGGCAGCCTCGGGGCAGGACAGGCTCTGGAGGAAATTAATAAAGAGGGAGGGAAAGTGACAGCTTTAAGGGTTGTAAATCTCCCGCCTGACCTTACTAAATGGCAGCATGAGCCAAGGGCTTGTGACAGCAGCTGCAGGCTCAGGGTCAGAGCCATCCAAACCCGGAGCTCCCCCCAAAAACAGGCTCACTTTGGCTACCCTGGCATCAAAAAGCAAATGTTTGTTGTGGTGCCTTGAGGGCTTTCACCCTGAACCACGGGGACCTGCCTTCATCAATGACATGTTTGTCCCCAGCATTGCTCCCTTATCAGCCTCCCCTTTCCCCTCCATCCCAGGCATTCTTGGCAGGACAGGCAGAGCCACCCTCGGCAGGGACAAACAACAGCCGGGTGACCTACAGGGGGGCACAGGGAGCTCACACTCCTTTCTGCACTGCTTTCTCTCTCTGTTTACTGCACTTCCTGTGCATATACTTTTTACTCTATATCAGATCATAAAACCCACTTGATTCAGGCTCATGAGCCCTGCCAGATCAGGGCTGTCCTCGTTTTGCACAATAGGGGTGAAGCTGCTGATGAAACCCACCTGGGCTGGGTTTTTGCCCCTACTTGGAGCTAAGCTGGGTGAGGGACACACCCTCCAGCTGAGCAGCATCTGCAGGAGGTTCCCTAATAAAGCCCCTCCTTCAGCCTCCCCCTGCTCTCAGGAGAGTGGAGGTAGGTGATGAGGCTGCAGGCTAATGCCAAAGCCACCTTGGGTAAGAGCTTGGAGTAATGAGGAGGTGCTGCCAGGCCCTGTCTGTCCCTCTTGAGCAACCTTCAGACAAGCTTTGCTGACAGCCTGCACAGCAATTCTACTTTCTCTCATCATCTCACTCCCAGGGAGGTGTGGGGTAATGGAGTGGGTGGGGTGGGATGTGTCCCCATGTTGAATGTATGCTCAGGAACACTGGGGGTGTGAGGGTCCACCAGCAGTGGGGGGGGGTCCTTATCTCGCCTCAGGTGCAGCTGCTTCCTTTTGGCCACAGTCCTGGCTGCCTTGTGCACACCCCCAGCTTTATTTTTGCTGGCAGGGATGGACCCAGAGGATCTCTGATGTTTCCTGTGACTCCCTGGGAGGGCTGCAGGGAAAGGCTATGGACAAGCCCACATCCCCTCTGCTCTGCCAGAGGAAGTCTATTCTGGTCTTGAAGGGCAGCCTGACTCACAGGGGCTCCGTGAGACATAAAGTTGATCTATGGCTTTGCTCAGTGCCTGAAAATAACCTGGAAGCTCTATTTCTCCTCCTGTGGGCAAAGCAGGGTGTCTGTGCACTGGTTGGGGGGGTTAGCATTGCTGGGGACACTGTTGTTGCTGTGCATCTTCTGTGAAGGCCTCAGAGGCTGGGCCAGCCTGGCTGAGGCCCCGGCCGTGCCCCCACGGC